AACGCACCATATGTGTACATGACTGTTTTTATGAGGAAGGTGGGAGCACAGATTGTGATAATCCATACAATTAAAAAGCAACAGTTGTAGGTTGACCAACACGCGATCACACAAATGGAAAGGAAACTCATGCAAACTATGGAGATGATAGCAATCAAAAAGCGCAAGGTGGCACAATATGAAAGAGAGCTGGCCTTAAGCGCTTTCTCACGAGGTAGTACTTTACTAAGGAGAAAGCCTATGCGAAAATTTCATCGTAGGCTGCAATAATTTTCCTACATCTTCATTTTAAGGGAAAGATGAAAATACCGGTCTTTTTCATCGGATATGGGGTACTGTGGCCAGCGCAGCCGGTGGAGGAACCTTAAGTGATCAAATAAGGCAGGCATCTATATCATTACTTTATGTCATAATCTGTTTCCCTTTAGTTTCTTATCTTGTACTACATGCATGATTCTTTCCTCTTTTTATCTCGCTAATGAGAGGGTGCCTTTTTTTCCAGGCAATTAAACTCAGAAATTATCCCCTTAAACGAATTGAGTCGATATTTATTCCTTGAAGTTGTGGAGCTCCGCAATATGAAGGTAAGACTGACTTATGGCGAGTCCAACTTATAAAAGAATGTTTGGATTTTGGACCTAAGATCTTAACACTTGCTTCCTATTCTCATTTTTAAGGAACGTATTGAATACAGTAAAACATGGATGGGAAAGTATTTCAATGTGCTTGGACATTTCTTTTCTGTTTATTGCATCTGGAAAATATTCATTTGTACAGTAAATATTGTATTTGATCGAGTTGGAAAAGTTGATCCAGTAACGAAGGGCATAGAAATTGGCGTGAACTGGATGGGCATTGACTTAGACGTGAGTTTCTTTTTGACCGAGTTTCTGAATATTACCTTCAACAAAGTTTCGCATTATTAATTGTTTATTCGCCCCTTTTAGGTTCGATTTTGGTCTCAACATATCTCTTTCTTCCTTGTGGGCGTTATTGCTGTTACATCAATAA